CTGGCAATAGCTAGAAGCAGGCCATCAACTGCCCTCCAACTCCTGTTTCTCATTCTATGTCAGAGACTTACTTCTTCCCTTGGAAAGTAATTGAAGGAAGTAAGAATCTGATCCTTCAGAATTGGAAAAGATACGAGGAGAGAGCTTTCCTGTAAATAGGACACTGAGCACCTTGAATATTTTGGGACCAGAGGATACTCTTTCCTCTTAAAGAAACCTTGCACTCTGGGACAGAAGTCCTAGATACACCTCCTTCCAGGACCCTTTGAAATGTCATACCACAATGTGTTTCAACCCAGTCCAGAAAAGTGCAGATTACTGAGTAGTGCCTTGAGATGGTAATTACATGACAAAGGGGAATTAGGGCCCAACTGGTGGAGGAAGGAACAAAAGTAAAGCATGGAACATGTGCTTAGGGAGTGTAAGTGGGGACCTGCATTCAGTTTTGTATTGATAGAGCTAAATATGCAGACAGAGTTATTAGGCACTTTATTTAATCTGCCGTGTTCAGTGACTTGAACATACTGATGGAGAGTTATTGACACATTTAAACAGACAGTGACGTAAGTAATTTTAACCTTCAAAAACATGGACTCTGTGGTAAAAACAGTTATCATAGGAAAGTGGGATTATAGAATAGGACAAGTGAAGATACCATGGAAATTATTCAAGAAAAAATCAAGAATAACAAAATGCATAGGAATATATCCTGATTTTATGATTTAAATCCCAGAGGAAAAAAAAGGAGAATTGCATCCAGGAGAATATGAATATATTTTAAAGAAATTCACCTAAATACACACTCAAACAGATTATTCACATTGTCTGTCTTTCAAAAATATAAAGCAGTTCAAAAGAAGGTAGTATTGATATCATGACCAAAAAAGATGAAACAAAAAAAAGAATTGAGTCATCCCTAGAATCTCATTTCTCATCATAGAAAATTACTCATTATTTTCTATGATTGTTAAAAATAAGAGAAAGAGAATAGTCATTATTACCCATTATCTCCAACATCTCAACCCCAGAACGTGATAAGAGCAGCTATAATTAACTTTATGTGAGACAAAAAGGGCACACTGACTTATATTCTTTATTAAAACCAATCTAAATATTAGCCCGTGGCACATAACACCTGAAAATCTGTGGAGACTATATTCCAGTCAAGTTCATCCTTGGCAGTGTAAAACATTCCACTGAATGTAACCTTAATAAAACCTAATGCTTGGAGTATTCTAGATAGTTCTAAAGTAGTAATGGACATATGCTGAATGTAAATTGTAAAAATTTAATGAATTTCTTTAGATAAAATTACCTCGTAAACTATGGAGGGTTATTTTTGTAGGAAGATTTACCTCACATCTCCAACATGCCAGCCACTTTGTTTTAAACAATTGGATATAATCCCTAAGCAGCTGATAAACCTGAAGGTATGGTTTCATTCAAGAAAGAAGGCAGTGGTGTCTCGGGATAGTTATGTTGTTGTTTTCATATGGCCAGTCCACTTTGCCAGATCATTTCTTAGGTACCAATTGCAGGCCCACCGATTGAAAGTGAAGACTTGCCTGAACCCCTGAAATGGGTCCTAGTGCTTTGTTAATTAAGTAACTCTCATGTTTCATTTTATTTCTCATCTCAAATTATGCCTACGTGCCTTGTCCAATGTAGTGGTTCTATAATGAGAGTTTACAAAACTGTTCAGATAGTCAAATAATATAATTGCAGCAAAAATCTCACATCATGTTGAACATTCCAAGAAATTTGAAATTCAAAATCTTCTGACAAAATTAAAAGATATGCAATACACAAATATTTCAGTGAATAATCAAAGGAATTTAAGTTCAATATCAAATTACCTGCCTATGTGAGATTCTTTTTAATTCAGACCTACAATTTTTTATCCTCATCTTTTGAATCTACTTTATCTCAATACCTGTGTGGATTCTTGATGCTCCAGTGAGCCTGAGATCTTTTCTAAGCTAAATCTTGAGTATTTTTAAAGGGAGATTAATAGTTCCTCCAACATTTTACCAGCTTAATGCAGTTTGAATTTCACTGCAGAGTCTTAAATGTCTCACTTTTTAAAAGATTTTAAAGTTAATGGAATATACTAGATTATCATAGCACAGACCTGTAACAACCCAATTTTTTAAAAAAAAAAGTAAATCCCAAGCTGTTTAATTTGGCCTTGAGGCCAAATTATGTTTCCAGAACTAAGAAAGTATTCTAGCCCAAAGGCAGTTCCTAAAAGCATTGGCAAAGATTCAATAGTATTTAGAAGCTTAATAATGATTTTTTTCTTGATTCCTTGCCCATTTTATGGAATCTATAAACACAATCTATCAAAATCAATCAAGATAGCTCTAAAACTAGTATCAAAGGCATAGCTATCTTGGTAATACACAATATTAAGTCACATATTTAGACATGTTTCTCTATGAACCAATATGTTCCATAGCTTTTATGTCATTTGGCCTTTGAGCCCTCTGTTGGTAGCACTCCTATATGAACTATGCATGTTGCTAGAAGGAATTTCTACTGTCTCTAACTATGGAATATTATTGTCTAGAAATCTTGTATCCAAAACTTTTTTCCTCTCATATAATTATTCAGTCCATAACCAGTTAGAGACTGTGGGAAATAAGCTTGTGGGTAACAAATGGTAACTCAAGCTTGACCTCTTCTGTTTCCTTCTAGAAAATAAAGTAGAATTTGGGATCAGCCTAACTGGGCCCCCTACTTTGAGCTAGCACTTAAAACATGAACTTCATAGGAAGTTCAGGGCCTTTGCAATGTAATGTAGCATTTTATTGTTCTTTCCAGAAATGATTGAAAGACTTGCGTGTTTAAAGATTCTCCTTTCCTCCATTATTATTAATATTTTTATCTTTTTTTCATACTGGGAATCAAACTCAGGACCTCAAACTTGTCAGGTTGGCACTTACACCACTGAGCTAAACCCCCAGTCCTTTCCCCCACTGTTTAAAATTCATCTTACCCATGTTAAGGACTTCAACTAATCCAGGGACCTGTGCTAAGGCTGGCATTTGGGTAATCCCAAATCAAGCCACCGTAGCCTACATGCTTAACCCCTGACCATTTGACTGTGCTTCCTGATAGCCTCTTCTTCATGGAGGCCACTGAGACCAGGGCATGATTATAGGCTGTGAACAGGTGGCATCTACAGAGGTTCTCTGTGTGGCTAGCATTTGGCTGGAGTGCCTTGAATAGCTTGGACCTCCAAGAATTTTAATTTTGCTGATACTACACAGACTCTTGTAGTTTTGCTTAGGTCACCAAACCATACTTATGGTGAGCCCCCTAAACAATGTGCTGAATGTTTACTGCTCTCAATGCCTCTACAAAAACAACCAGCCATTCATCTCTAGATAGTGCCCTCATAAACTGCAGTGATTCCAACAGAAAAATACCGAGTGGTTAGTGCCTAAGGCTTTCAGCCATATGCCCAAGTCAACTGTCAACAAAAACAACTACACAGCTTATAAATTTAAAAATTTAAAAGAAGATTGACATATGCATTAAAGTTCAAGCCCCTCAACATGAACTCTTCTGCTCAGTTGTTCTATGTGTATTTCTCATTAGCTTACCCTGGATACCAGTTTCCAACATTTCCACTCCTACAGATAGGTCTATTCACTGGCAGCCCCAAAGCTGAGCAGAATAAATGCTCTCTAAGGCAACCCAGTTCTAAAGAGAAGGTGTGGAGGAATAGGCAGGGCTGGACTGCTTATGCTCCTTCCAAACTCCAGAGCTGCCAAAGTAGGAAAATATTACACTAAAGAGGTTTCCTGCACATAAAATCAGGCATGAATAAATAGCCTCTTTCTTTAGTAATTATTATTATATAGCTTTAAAAGTTTACTATTTTGTATGTTAGGTGATCCAACTGGAAAACATCTGAATTGTGAAATAATTGAAAAGAAAAATATTGCTACTTTTAATTGCTTTATGAGTTGATGCCCTAGGGGATTCCCCTCAGAAGGAGCTCAGACTCCAATTATGTATACAAGTTGGAATTTTTTAAAATGCCTTCCACTTAACATATTCTCCATGGACAAATAATTAGAATGTCAGATCCATTTGCTTTATTGTTTAAAAAGTAAAATTCACAGATTATAAATAGATGACTTTTCCCAATATATTAAAATTAAAAACAGACTTACCAACTAACTCTGTAGAGCCCTCTGGGAATAACCAGGTCCTTATATCAAAGGATAATAGGATAGAAAGCTAAATAAAACTGCATCACAGACAGCTGTCCTTGGGAAACTCCCCACACATTTCTCATTGGGGTGCTTCCTCCCACCCAGTTATTTTTCTCAAGACTCATGCCTCCTTCTGTAATCCATCTGCTACATATATTTACTGAGCCCCTACTATGTACAGGACAAATATGCTCCAGATCTTCGTTGTACCACCCCTAGAAACCTTTCTTTCCACCATTTTTCTCATTAGCTAATTCGTGAGGAAATACTCATTGTTTTGAATAGCTTATGGTACTACACAGTATCAGAGGTTTTACATTTCATATGTAAGTATATTTGAACTCAAAAAAGATTGAAATCTACATTCAGTTGAGTGTATCTTTCTGGTTTGGTTCAAGTCACTCCACAAGCACAGCTACCTACACTCTTCATTGCGGACAGAATGTTGCTTGCTGCGTTTGTTCTGCGTTTTTTTTAACTACTTGGGGCAACGGCTTATGTGATGACACCCCATCAAATTTACATTCAGTTGGTTCGTTGATTATTAGCCCTGTCTGATCTTCAGGATTGTGAGATATGCATTGCAGAAGATTAAGACTAATAAATTGGTTTTTGAAAAGCCTTATACTTATTCTAGAATCATCCAGAGCTTATAATGTACAAATTTGTGATATTTGTTCTACATTCTAAAGTGTGACTGACTTTTTGACAGCTTACCCTGAGATATATAAAATGAAAGCTACATGATATTTTTTCCCTCTTGTTTTGAACTAGGAGCCGAGGCTAATTTTATTATGAAAATTCATCCTCTGAAGAAATATCCTGTAGATCTTTATTATCTGGTTGATGTATCAGCATCAATGCACAATAATATAGAAAAATTAAATTCTGTCGGAAATGACTTATCTAGAAAAATGGCATTTTTCTCCCATGACTTCCGCCTTGGATTTGGGTCATATGTTGATAAGACCGTTTCTCCATACATTAGCATCCACCCGGAGAGGATCCATAATCAGTGCAGGTATTTAATATTTGGTGTGTATAATATAAATCTTTGTCTTATAAATTTTCATTTTGTAAAGAATTTAGGCTTGATAATTTTGTTTTATTAAACAATCAAAAACATTAAAAGAGGAATTGTATGTTTTTATCACTCATACAAATAGCCCTACTTCATATTAGTGAGCTTTTTATAAACTTCCAACATTCAGGCTGTATGTATATAAATACCTCTGTGGAGATTCTATATTTCTCCTTAGTGATTGCTCCAACTTTGTGGAATTCAGATTTAGTACAATTTAAAGTATCTTTAATGAGTCTCTCCATCGCTGTATCGTGACTGTATATGTTTACATTGCTTTTGATATGAGTACAAAAACAGCTCAGCTAATACATAAAGAGGGAGTCAAAAGATTAGCATTGATGACTTAGAAAGCTTTTTTCTTAGCCTTTTGGAATTCTATTTATAAATAGAAGATGCCTCAGTGTGAAAAAGCAGAACTGACTTTAAATGCACAACTTTCAAATATACCTTTTATCTGTTCGCTTATCAGAGGAATAAATCTGTATAACTTTCCTCATATATATTTTTATTTTAACATATTTCAGACTTCCATAAACTGCTAAAATTGCCTCACACTACATACTCCAAGTTACCTTGGAACCTAAAGAACATGTTTAACCTTCTTTACTCTTTACACACCAAACCTTACTGCTCTTATTTCCCCTCATGAAGAAATGCTCACCAGTATTAAACATAATTTTACACGTTTTTGTGTTACAAAATGTCCCTGATTCCCCCCCAGAATTCTACTTATTTCTCATATTAACTACACGAATTTACTATTAGGAGTATTCTGTAACTTCTAAGGAATCATAGCAAAATAGACTTTGCACTTCTTTTCCCATATAGTGACTACAATTTAGACTGTATGCCTCCCCATGGGTATATCCATGTACTGTCTCTGACAGAAAATATCACTGAGTTTGAAAAAGCAGTTCACAGACAAAAGATCTCTGGAAATATTGACACCCCCGAAGGAGGTTTTGATGCCATGCTTCAGGCAGCCGTCTGTGAGGTAAGAAGTTTCATGTCATTAAACACTAACACGACTGGGCATTTTTATTTTCTCTTTGACTTAAGGAGTGAAACTTTAGCATAGAAGAACATCACCAGTGTTATTCATTTTGGCACATGTTTAGGTCCAAGGGGCTCAGTTAGGAAGGGACCATGCACACAAAGTCTTTCCAAAAGGGCTACTCTTTTCTTTTACCATACTCCAAGGGAAAACCAGAAAAAGCTAGTTGTCCCACATGACTTTATTGACCTTCTTTGTAACCCAGTTTATCCCCTGCACCAGTGGAGCACCAGAAATCTGCAGCCAGGAACCAGTGTGGTCAAGTGACTGTGGTGAAATAGAGCATACACAAATAAATGGGGATGCTATTTATGAAGCAAGCAGCATTTTACTTAAGTACATCATTCTAGCCCATCTTAAAGTTTGTCAACTCAAACATATCGTTTACTTGAGGCAAAACCACAGTACAGATCTATGTTATTGTACAAGGTCTAATTACATGTTTATTTTAAGAGTCATATTGGATGGAGAAAAGAAGCTAAAAGATTGCTGCTGGTGATGACAGATCAGACATCTCATCTCGCTCTTGATAGCAAACTGGCAGGGATAGTGGTGCCAAATGACGGAAACTGCCATCTGAAAAACAATGTCTACGTCAAATCAACAACCATGGTAACGTAGGAATGGTTCTTTCATAGCTATGAGTTTGGGGGTTAAAGTACAAGTTTACATTGGCAACTCCAATCTCTCGCCAGAAATCAGCAAGAGAGGCAACTTAAAGAACCAGATTAGCTATGAAAGACAACGTATGGTCCTCAGTAAAATACACGGCCATCATACTTTGACAACATCTAGGACCTGACTCTTTGATAAACTAAAAGGCACTGTATATAATCTTTCAATGTAAAAGTGATAAAAGAGCTTACTTTTGTATGATCTAAGGACCCTTAAAAGGAAAACAATTTGCCTTTGCTTTACATAAATAGACTACTTCTATGGGTTTGATACTTACAAGTATATGAAATAGTGATAAGAAAATTCAACTACCATGAGTAATCTTCACAGTTCAATAGATAAAAACTCAATAGAGACCAGAAACAAAGTGAAAAAAAGATAAAACAAGGCAGGCTTTATCTACTTTACACCTCTCTTCCTGCCTCTAAAACTTATATTTCTGTAAGGCAGCTTTTTAGAGCTATGAAGATCTGAATTATTTTCTGTGAGTTGACATAGGGTTTGGATTATATGTTTAGATACAATCTTTTAGAACCATATCAACTCTAGATTAGGTAAGTCTAGGCATAAATGTTGATAACTATTTCTACATTTTTGCAAATGGCAGGATATAAGCTGTCAAACTTTCTTAATTCATGAACTCTACTGTCTCAGAAGTTATCTCCACAACACTCTCAGGCCAAAGGAATTACCTAAGGACTGGGGATTTAGCTCAGTGGCTCAAACACTTGCCTGCTAAGCACAAGGTCATGAGTTCAATCCCTGGTACCAAGACAAAAAAAGAAAAGAAGTTATCTAACAATTCTATTCATTACATAGTTAAGTCCATGATATATATCTTTTAATAGGTGAGTAACAGGAATTTCTCAAACTGTGTAAATAGACTGGGCACTGCCACCTTAATTTCCTGTTCCACGTTATTTTCATGTTGATCTGCATGTCACTTAGCAAATACATGTTACTTAGACAAAGCCAAACATAATTTTAAAACTGTGGCCAACCTCCAGCTAGTAAGTTATGGATCCCTGAAAATTATGGTCACTATATTGTTTCCCTTGAAAATTTAAAAGTTTTCATGCTACTCTTGTGAGTGAGCTGTGGTGCTCCAAGGCACCTTGAATATAGTTTAGAAACTACAGTATTAGAAATGTAAGTTATGCTGAAATTTGTGTGGTTTCCCACAATTATGGTAAAATTTTTTTAAATCATCAGTTTATCTAGAACACCCCATCATGCTCACAGAAGGTTGAGGGCACAATTGTATTATCATTTCAAACAAGTTCAACACTCAGAGTTTTTAAAAATTCAGGATTGGAATTGCTCCACTAGGGTCAGTCCCCTTGCTAATTGTCTTCTGTGCAGTCTCATTCACCTTGACAGACCCACCGACCTCTACTTAGTCACTTCCTGTGTATCTCTCCTCCTGTTTGACTTCTTCCAATCCTAGTTAGTCTAGTTTATTTATTGAAAGAGGAGGAAGAGACAAGAGGGACTATTCCATTGTGAGACCCAGAAGCATTTTTTAAAAGGAAAAATACCAGTGACATTATTCTCAAATTGCATTATTTTTTTGAAGTTTTGCCAAGCGACTGAAGCCATCTCTCCATCGGAGTATTTGAAAGGATGCTGTTGCTTATCTAGGGAGGATCCCTTAGGGAAAAAATAGCTATCATAATTTTAGACATATCATGTCATAGAACCTTATGAAAATAAATTGTAATTCCAGTGGAATCTTAGATTCCACAGTGTTGGGTTCTTGTGATATCAGGAAACTGGACAATCTATCATGAGCTGTTTTTACTTTCTTGTCATTGTTCAACATAGATAAAGGAATGAGCCTTCTATTTGTCATTGATTTAATATATTGAGTAAACTAAGGAGGGGTCTGCATGTTGATACCTTAGATGACTTTTATCTTAGTTAACACAAGTCTATATTTTAAAAGATCTTTTCCGTGGGAACTCTAATTCCCACATTTCTAGAAAACTACCCTAAAGCAAAAGACGTTAAAGTACTTGTATTGAACCCATGGTTATGGATTTATTTGCATAAAGATATGCACCAGCTCTGAAATCTCCTGTATATAAGGCTACATTTACTCTAACTCTAAGCTTTTATACATGTTTATTTTAATGTGACTTCTGTCCTCTTCAATTTAGCCTTGATGGAGGCATCTTAAAATTTGTGTAAGTTACACAAATAAACACTTTATCTGCAGCAGCCAATGCTAATAACATTGAATGAGATCTGAGCTTCTTAAGAAAAAGAACCAAATTCCAGCTCTTTTCTCTAAAGAGGGGAATAATTAATAAAAGACCTTTTATATGTCTAAATTATAGGATCCATAGTTCTGTTCATATACATAGATATTTCATAAAAGTCAATATGACCCCTAGACTGGTAAAAGCTACCAGTAAAAAACATTTAGCACATTTATCTTTATAAAAACTCCATAGGGTAATTCTAATTATCAGCCTTTACAAACAAAGAGTATGAAGGTTGGAAAAGTTAAAGTTACCTCAAGATGGCTAAAAAATTAATAAATTACAGATCTAGGACACAGTCCACCACAAATTCAGAATAAAATCTGGGTTCTTGACCACTTTGTCAATGTCTCAACAAAAAGTAGAAAAAGTACAAAAAATACATTCTTTGTATAACTTCTTTCTAACATTTCAGCCGCAGCCTTAATATATGACAGTATAAGCCAGATGATTTGACTTCCATAAATTACAAAACAAGATACTGTATAGTTTAAAATAATTTCTGTTTATAAACTGTTCAAATTTGCATATGGCTGTTGGCAAATGATGTTACGGTATTGAATAAATGACATTTTCACTGCCTTTTAAGATTAAATGCCAGGATAAACAACTTGAATAGTAATGTAGCATTAGAACCTGCCCTATAATCATGACAGTTTAAAGAATGACATCCTTCCTAAGAAGTGAGATGCAGAAGATGAGCTATTCACACTGAAGGCCTGGAATTTGATCGGGCCTCCCCACCCAGCTCCTCCAGGGTTATTCCAGCCTTAGTATGAGGCCTCCAGAAACCATTGACCCACCCTTGGCAGAGGCCAAGAACAGCACAAAGCTTGTCAGTCACAGGGAGAGCAAGTACATGGAGGTCATGCAGTGAACCTTATCAATGGCAGTTGCAGATGTTGGTGTGAGTCTCACTCCTGAATAGAGAGACTGAATAGATAGATGAAAATGCCCTACTCTTGCTGTATGTACAGTATGAATGCAAGCAGTTTATTAGTATCTTGTAGTTAGGTTTGATATTTCCTTTTCCATATATCTTTTTCAAGTCCATGTTTGCAGATGAAAAAAAAGCTTCAGAACATTTTAAACTAATTTAATTCTTTACTTTCCTACATGAGTTAACAAACTTTTATGAAGTTATTACATTATATTTCCATGCTTTTCTTCCTTAGAATTCCCCACTGCTTACTTCATAGTGTATTCCTTTGTCTGCAATTGTATTGGGGTGCAAGAATACCAGCATCTTAGATGATTAAGACAGAATAGTATCAAGACGCAATATATTTAGGTATATGTTCCAATACCAGTACCCCATGATGAGCATATTTATTATGTACTCGAAACACATCAATAAAAAGAAAAAAGGTAGAGTTTCAGGAAATACATTATGTTTCAGTGCAGGCTTATACTTCCTTGTGGATAAATAGTCAACTACTTAACTTTTGTATGTTATTTGGGAAGCTCTTTATTCATTTTATTTTATTTTTTTTACCATGAATTTTTCTATAACAGCAGGTAAAAAAAAGAGCTTAAGGACATTATAAACTAATTCAATTGTATACTTTCCTATGTGAGTTAAGATTTTATGAAGTTATTAAATATATTTCCATGCTCTTTTTTCTGCAAAAGATATTTTTGACATTTTCAAAGTCTGGAAGACATTTGTAGCTAATACTAATACCAGGTAGAGTTGAATTTTAACCTTTCAGTAAAGAAGTCTCTTAATTATTTTTGCTGCTCTATAAGAAATAGCTTCTTCACTTTTGGAGAATGTTTAGTATCTTGGTTTCTGCTTCCCACCATTGTGTTTCAGCTACATATTAATAAACATGATAATTCACTGAGCACTGATTTTGTGCAAGGGACTGAGCGTAATGAGAAAGATTTATGTCAATGTTCAAGTTCATTTAAATAATGCGACATTTTATGGAGGTTCTAAAACTAATGCCTGATATCATATTAATGTTTGCTGATCTGCTGTAAATTATAAATAGTGTAAAAATTTCTGCATTACTTAAGAAACCTAATTTAAATGCTTTTTATGTTCTTAGAAAAGTAGCCAGAAAATGATGTCTGCAAACAGTATTTAGCTGGATCTATTATTATTATTATTATTGAAAGCAAATGTTGCACGCAGAAATCATCCACAGCAGGCTCTGAGGAGCCTGCCTCTGCCTCTGTGGTGCCTCTGGAATGGAATGAAATGCAACCGAGGAATAGAGTGGTAACATGACAGAATTTAAATTTGATTTAGAAATTTATGGAATGTAATATTATAATTAAATGAGATGTTTTGGTCAAATCATATAAGGAAGAAAATTTGTGTTACCATTCTTAAAATGCTTACAAAAATTGTAATCCATGCTCTCCTTCAGGAGGCAGAGTACCATGATTCCAACCAATCCCTGCTTTTGGCAGGAGCCATAGATTCCAGCACCAGTTATAAAGGGTAAATATATAAAGCAGATCCACTCAAGCAGAACCAAGAGTATATCTGACATATTAAATAATGGCCCCAAATATCTCTGGGTAAGCAATCGTTTATTGAAACCACTGAATACCACAAAGAGGTGAGATATTGCTTCATTTCTGTTTTGAAAATGAGGAAATGTAAGTACGGTGGCATAAGTGTCCTGTCTTACACAATGCCTTTGTAGAGCAGTGCTTGTGACCGACACCAGCCAGTGTAACAAGACAGGAGTCCCTGTTCACCATAAACGTGGATGAGATAATTGTAGAGTGGTAAATGAAAGTCTTTACATTATCTCATTTATCACTACATAAGTCTGAGAGGTAGATGCTAGTGTTTATATCTGTTAAATATCAATATGGATATAGATGTGGATACGGAAATAGGATTCCATGGAATATTGACTGCTGCTCAGGCACATAGTGTATCTATCAAATTTTCATTACTACAACACTTACCTGGAATAATCACTTTAAAAAGAAAAACGATTTATTTGGACTCACAGTCTTGGAGGCTACAGTCCTGATGGCACAGCCAGTCCATTGGAATCATGACCTTGGACGAAAAGAGAGAAAGAAGGAACTAGGTTCCACAGCCTCCTTCAGAGACTCACCCCAATGGCCTGAAGACCTTCCACTAGGTCCCAGGTCTTCATGTTACACTCCCTCCCACCAGCACCTGTCTGGGCACTAAGCTTTCAACACATGGACCTTAGGAATGTTGAAGGTCCAAACCATAGCACATTGCAAGCAACTACAGAGCCAGGAGATGAAGCTCCAGGTGGTCTGTTGGCAGAGTTCCTGCTCTTGGTGTGTTTCTCAAATCAAGCAACTTTACCTTCTACCATGTCCAGAGACATGGTAGTCACAGCTAGGGCAAAGAAGAACTATCATTCTCTAGTGGGTAGAGTCAGGGACGCTGCTAACTTCCTGCATTCTACAAGCTGCTCTCACAACAAGCAATATCCATCCTCAAATGTTAAAAAAAACCCTTCTGTTGAGAAACCCTGATCTAGGCAGCCATCACTGTACCTCCATATAGATAGAAAATTGGGTCTGGGTAGATGTAACTGACAGCATATACTTTAAAGTTTTCATCTCTAGATAAATCTCTGCTTTCAGATTGCTCCCATCTTATTTGTGTCTTTCCTCTATATGAAAAGCCTAAAATATAATTCATACAATTGACATTTAAATTATTGGGGCTGTTTAGCTATATTATTATAATATTCAATTTACAAATTCTCAATTATCTTATAAGCTTTTTATTACCAACTTTTACTTAAGGTGGAGAGAAATGTAAATGTTTCTCTTTATCCACCTAGATACATGGGTTATTAAACTTCTACCGTGCATCTCTAGCGTTATCACTTTAACTGAAATTGCTCCCAAAGACTTTCTTACCTCCACTTCCCTTCTGACATTTATAACTTACTTCCTTACACAGCCTTAATTACTTAGCAGCTGGCTTGGCATATTGCTTTCCCTTCTCCCTTTTGCCCCTGACATGCTTGTTATCTCTAGTAATTATTTTCGGGGTTAAGAGAAACAACATGTAATGGGTTAGAGGCGGGGGTTAGATTGAGAGGCAATGACGGCACTAGGAACCCAGCTGCCTGTGCGGGAGTGTGTTCTCCTGCTGGCAAAACAAAGCACATAAAAGATAAAGTCCTAAATGATAATATGCTTCATGGAGGAAGGGGGCAGGGCCCTCAGAAGGGGCCATTAATCCATAGGTCTCTTGTCAATGGTGGTTTATTTAAACATCTGTTATACATTTGTAATTTCTAGAAATCTGCCTCAAGGTACTTGGAATTTTCTTTTAAAATAGATTTCTCTCTAGGGTTTGAAACATGTGTTCTTTTAAGCTTAAAACTCTGACCAATCTTTTAAATGCACTTCTGACCAAACTAGAATATTCTAGATTTAAATTTTGTGTACGTTTAGCCAATGTGATTTTCTGTTTTTGCAAAAGGAGCGAGATTAAGAAGGCTCCAAAAGCTGCTTACATTTTCAACTGTTCTTTACTGATTTTTATTTGAGTTAAGCATTAGCTGGTTAAAAACATATGGGTTACATTTTCCTTAAAAATATGAATAGTTTTTAAAATTAAGGAAAGTGAGTGCTTGGCAGCTGCAATTATTTTTTGTCAAAGCAAAATTATTTGAAAAGTAGTTGCTGCCATTAAAACAATATTCCCAGTACAGCTAGACTTACCTTGCCTTCTCTTGTTCTCTAATTTACTCGTATTATGCAAGCAGTTATAAATCTATTTTAAGATTATGCATTTTATTAGGAACAGTAATAAGAATTTAACTGGCAGAATTTATATTTGGAAGATTTTTTTCTATTACTTTAAAATTATAATCTCTGGGCAATTGCTCTGGGCAGAATTGTTCTTATGCAAACCCACGTAGTAATACTTTTTAAGCCTTTTTCATGAGTAGATTTCATATCACATTTAAATGCAATCCGTGAAAAAATGGGTTATTGCTACCACAACAAATATGGATAATAAAGAAATAAAAGAATATTCATGGCTTCTCCTTGGGGTTGAACCCAGGGCATCATGCATGCTAATAAGTCACATCCTCAGCCCCGGTAATATTTTTAAACATCAGACAATAATGTCTGTATTTATAAATTTAGTTGGTGGGCCATAGAACCTAGGTTGTAAGTGAAACTACTCCATTTAACTTTTTCTTAAATTCATACAGTTTTCAAAAGACAGAGATATTAATAACAAAGCTGGTTGAGGAAAAATTTCCAATAAAACAAGCACCATTAGGACTAAAGGGTGTAATAAGGAGCAAAGGCAATGAAATAATTTGAAGTTCAGTCTCATGATGCTGGTTAGGCTAAGTCACAAGAGCTTTGATTCCTGCAGTTAGGCACTGACAGGCCAGTAGGAGGCCTCCAGGTAGAGTCTGACTTTATCACTCTGAGAGATGAACTATCAATTTAATTCACTCTGAGAGTTGAAACAATCAATTTAATTTCTAGAAAACACTAACATAAAAAAAAATGAGACTACTATGTCTAGCTAGATAGTAATTTTGTACCAGTAGTGGGAAATAAAAACCATATTTGCTATTATTCTTGGGTACCTTTTGCATACAAGAAACTACAGCAAATTCTTCACATACTATTGTGGTTTCTTAATGTTACCATTAGTCACGGAAAGCAGATATTATTCATATGTTCACAGAGAATGGAACTGAGAATTTCTGTCATAAAGTGACAAACCTAGGACTTGAGTACAAACTTTTCTATTTCTAAAGAAAGTTCATACTATATCACGTCATAAGTCAAATATGTATATATACACATATTAGTATGTAAATATGTGTGGATCTATATGTGCATATGTTTATAGGCCTATACATATACACACTTACATTTTAATACTTGTTACTGAATTTTGCTTTCAAATGTAATTGTCATTAATGTGTCTCTATTTATGAATATTTAATTATCTTTTAATTCCACCACATGAGTCTATGCTAATTTTTTAAAGATGTCTTGATAGCTTTATGTACATATTGGGTCAGGGATGTAGCTCAATGGTGCAGTGCCTACCTGGCAAGCACAAGGTCATGAGTTTGATTCCTGGTACCCATCCACCCCCCCAAAAAAAGAATATGTACATGTTTAGTTAGGCCCTCTTCATTTTTGTGTTATAGGGTTTTTTTTTTAGAATTTTTCCCATAAAAGTCTTCTTAACACATTGATATTGATGTTACATTTGAAAATAATTCAATTGCCTCTAGTAAAACATTTACATTTACCAAGTAGGTACATTGTTATATAAATTGCACAGTTTTCTTCGCAATATATGTTCAGATATGTGTGAGGCTGAGCTACTAAAGTTCACTCTCTTTTTTCATCTTCTATTACAGGAACATCCCTCACTAGGTCAACTTTCAGAAAAACTAATAGACAACAACATTAATGTCATTTTCGCAGTTCAAGGAAAACAGTTTCATTGGTATAAGGTATGTTAATTCCCAAAATATAAAAATTACAGTATTTGCACTGTGGTTGAAATTAGGACACTTCTTGGAATCAGAAATGCAATACTGCATTAACTGAAATATACATTATAGTATCTCACATTAGCATTTAAATACAAATTCTGTTTAGATTTATAACATCTAGAACCAAGTGTGTGTACTAAGTGCTGTTTGGGAACTATATTCAGTACACCTCAACACAGCGTGGTTTTGACAATAATAACAAGTGATTAATAATAATAACAAAGTGAACATTATTTCACACTTCAACTCTGCACTTTCTATGTCCAAAGACCTGCTTATATTGTGGTCCATAGGCACGTCCTTATAGTAGATTAAAAATTGGAGAACATCAGAGTAATTTTCAATGCCACCAGCACACTGAGTAGGTAAGGTGTTTCCAACCTTTGTCTTGCTTGGGTGGAAGAAATTATCTCAGGCCACATACAAAACATCTCACATCAGATGGATATAAGTAACTAGACTGTACCAAGAGAAGCCATAGAAGTGAATAACCTACTTAAACCTTTTGTCCTGAGAATAATTTTGGTAGTATGCAGAATCCTTTGGGCCAAGTGGAATTTGCAAATAGCATAGATGCTAAGCAGCTGTGTCACTCTGGAGATGCCACAGAGTGCCCAGCACAGAACTGTTCACTTGTGCCCTTGCTGCAGCATTTTTTGCAGTCTTTTAGGGTCTCTGTTCCCAGAATAATTTCCACCATGTTTCAGTATCCTGACTTGCATTGTGCATCATTGTTCACTGGTTTCATCTCCCTGCTTGCTTTATGTCTTCCTTCCACTCTGTGACTGTAAACTCTCTCAGTGCTCAATCTCCAATGCCTCATATTTATTCCTTAAAACTTTAGAGAAAACTATATTTTCCCTTGGCTTCCACAAATACTTGAACTTATTTGCATTTGCCAAAAAGCTTGCATTCATCCACCCATTTGCCTAATATGTAACTATACTATGAATCATCTTAATTATCTAATTGTTATTAACTGCTTTAATCATGTCATTCATCCTGTGGAAATCTACAGTGAAACTTTAATTTCCTGACTTCCGAAAGGTATATACCACAGAACCATTTTTTTAAATGTAACAACAAATGAACATCCACCAAAGTAGGACTCTGGCTCAAATTAAATGATCCAGAATACTTTAATAGTAACAGGAACAGCTTTTATTTACCATGTGCTTAACCATTGTCAAGAAATGAACTTTTAAACATTAATCTATATACTTATCGTAGCTATTCCAAATAATGGGGACACTTTTATTAATATTCCCATTTTAAGATTAGGAAACCTTCAGAGAAGTTAAGTACTTGTCCTGAGTTTTCTGGTACTTATCCTGTGCTCCTTACCTCTAGACTTACTAGCTAAGTTTATGTACATGTTGTTTAATTAGATTTTCTCTTCTCTTTCCTGGCCATTTATTATTTCTTCAGAATGTTACTGGCTCTGGCAGTTTCTCCCTCCTCCTTTGTAAATTTGCCACTGATCGATGAGCTATTAAACCAAGTATCATATTAACTAAATGATAAACCAAGTATCATATTAACTAAATTGCAAGCAAAGTAAGAATCATGCGGATCTAGAAGCTTAAAGAACTCTGCTGAGAGTGCTGTGTATGCCACAAAGTCACCTGCTTTACTGCACAGGGATCTTTTTTATGGGTCATCTTCTGTTTGCTCAAAGCAGCTTTGTAACCCATCTCCCAAGTCCTTTCTGCACATCACTGCCAGGATGATCTACTAAAATTACAAGTATATTCATACAATTGCCTAAACTAAAAGGTTCCAGGAGCTTACGCTGATTTAGATGACCAGACTAATATGGCATATGAGGCCTCCAGGCCTCTACTACTGGTTTGTGTGCCCTCATTTGTTACTGTTCATGATTCTAGCTGTCCTGTGCCTACTTACTGAGCAGAACTCTTTCTGTCCGCGTACCTTTTTCCCTGCCGCCTTTCCTTCATGCTCATACTTGGAAGGCATTCCCTTTCAGTACTTGGCTAATTCTTACTCATCCTTTAAGATAGCACTCACAAGTCACCTCTTCAAAGAAACAGTCCCTGATAACTTTCCCCTACTTTGAAATGCTTGCTGAGAACACACTTAATAGTGTCTGTGAATAACTCTGCTGCTTCACATGCACATTGTTTATGAAAATGTCACTTTTATGTACACTTTTATGCAATCCTTAAGGATGGGAATTATGTGGCCTAGAAATTTAGCATTTCCAAGATAGTCTATAGTAGATGTTCACTAAAAGCTGAATAAATGAATTTTTGAAATTGATATGATATATTTTCCCTATGATTTGAGATACCAAATTGATAGTGCCTAAATCCGTCTGGCATGAAGCAGGAACTTAGTGATGCCTATGAGCAGAAAAAATGTGAAAAAAGTGGATTTTATAACTAAGTGCCCTTTACTCGAATCGGTTTCTTCTCAGGCAAAACAGCAAGCCTCTGCTTATTGTCACTTTCTGTCTAAGAATATCTAGAGGTACTAAGTATTATCCATTGTGAACATCTGCTCCATGAAACTCCCATCTGTAACCATGTCTTTTCCTCCTAATATGTCCCAAAGGTCATTCTATACAACACTAGTTCTAGAAAATATTTATCTTTGTGATGTGAGAAAAGAGTTTAGTAACTAAAGAAGTACTGGAAATGCTGCATTAAATTGCTTCCAAATTTCAGGACTACTCTGACCTGTTTAATATGCAAAGGTGCATTGTGAATATTTAAGTAGGAGACACCACATACAGAATTCCCAAATTTATTTAACATCGGAATCCTTTTCATATTTAAAGTCTCCATGGCTGTGTCCCACAGAAGACACTTTGGGAAATGCTGGCCTATACTTTGATTGGATTGTTAGATCATCATGTAATTCAGGAAGCACACACACTCATGCACATACATGTACACATGAGCACACTACCATTTCTGTACTGCTTTTCTGTTTTTCACGTCTTAAACTTGTTTTCGTTTATTTAGCTCACTCTCCACTGGTAACTACAAAACTGTTATTGTTGATCACTAACCCATGACACAGTGTTATGTAAACACTTGTCATATGTTTTTGTAGGAACTTCTACCCCTTTTGCCTGGCACCATTGCTGGTGAAATAGAATCAACAGCGGCCAACCTCAACAATTTGGTAGTAGATGCCTACAAGGTATGTATATATTACACACAAATTTTTTAAAGAAACTTTCACATTGTTGCAGTGAGGTACAAACTAAAAAGTGATATCTTGAAAGCAGTGGTAGCATGAAAGAACATAAGATTAGGAACTAGGACATGCAGTTCAGTTCTGGCTCTGCCATGAAGTTGCCAGTGTGTTTGTGATACTGACTTCAATTTTCTATGCCTTCCGTGCTCCTTGACAATAAACTTAACTTTGGCTAAATTTCTTTCCAAATCTGGTGTTCAAGATGTCACAAATCATAGCTGGAAAATGTGTTTTATTACCAAGAAAGTGTATAAATCCCTATGTCATAAAGTAAACAATTCACACTGTCATTTAAAGCAAACATCTTGCCTGGAATTGCTATCAGGAATGTTAAATTTGCTAAGAAGATTCTGTTGGCTTCTCTATGATCGTTTGATTGTTCAGACAATTATCTAGCAGTTTTGCCAAAAAAATTTGATTGAAAGAATCATCCTGATAGACACAGTGTTGCATTGAACCAATGGTCATATGCTGTCATCAGTTTTGCAAAGAGTGAATGCCTGAATATTGAAGAAACATCTGCTTTCTCAGGGCTCAGATATAATAATCACTGTTAGGATGTTGTAATAATAGTGACTGTTACTTTCACACTACTAAGAAGCAGTCACTTCCCCTAGATGACTTCATTTGATGCTCATACCTGACTTTTAAGGCAGGTGTTATTGTATATGTGTGGAAACCAAGGCTCAGAGAAGTGAAGCAAATAAGTCACAACTAATAAGCAAAAGCAGGATCTGAATGCAGGTGTTCTATCCCATGCCCCAGGTGCTTCCTGCAGTATGATCTCATATGTATGATGTCTACCTTGAATTTATGGATCATTTATAAAGTCTCACTTCCCCACATTCACTGACCCTACCACCAATACATGCAGAATTTAACCAAGTAAATACTAGCCACATTGCTGCTGAAAGCCTCAGGCCTCTTCTCTTTTCTGATTTTATTCTAAATCATGTCTCTGTAGTTCCACTGAAACAATGCACAATTCACTGAAGAATTATGTATCAGGGAAAAATAAGGGTCCATCCCAGAAAAGGAAAGTTTAAAATCACATAAGGAGCTTAATTTCTAAATTTCAAAACTGGAAAACATTTAGAGATTGCAGTCACGCACAGCTTGAAAAACATTGGCTTTACTGGTTTAAAGTCTTAAGAGATGCTAAATTTTATAAAGGTAAGCCAAGAACACTTTTAGGCATTTCCTTCTGACATTTCAAAACATTGCCTGTCAACATTATTTGTATATAACTGGAAATTTCTAGTGATTTGCTCAAATTAATTAATAATTGCAGTGTATGAGCTTTCCAGGAGATTAGAAAATGCAGTATTTTTTAAAATTTTATTTTAAAGAAAATAAAACAAAATAGAATAAAGTAAATCAGAACAGAAAAGTGCAAGCAACACAGGACTTCACAACAAGACAACAGGAAATCAACAGAGGCTACAATAATGTCTTTTGTTTTCTTCTAAATAGTTGTCCATACCTTCACACACAATAAATTAATACAAAAAAAGTATAAAACCAATTAAAAAATGAAAGCACCATGGAACTTCAAAACAAGACAATAGGAAATAAACAATGGCTATCATAATGTCTCTTGTTCTCTCCAAAATAGCTACCCATACCCTCTTACACAATGAAGTCAAATAACAGAAAACAGACTAAAACCAATCAAAACAAAGAATGAAAACATTACAGGACTTCAAAACCGTAACAGGAAGCGAACTATAATGTCTCCTTTTTTTTTTACAAAGTAGCTGTTCATACCATCACACATGATAAAATCAAACAAAACAAAACAGAATAAAACTAACTAAAGGAGTGAACGCATTATAGGACTTCAAAACAAAATAATAGGAAATCATCCATGATTACCATAATGCATCCCATTATGTTCAAAATAGCTGCCCTTACCATCAGACACAGTAAAATCTAACAAAATTATGAAAACATTACAAGACTTCAAGACAATAAGAAATTAACATTCAGTACCACCTTCTCCTTCTAGGTGTTTCCTTCCCTATCACTTTTATAATATCTATTGTGTTTTTGAATCCCACTAACTCCTTCTGTTTGTTGTGCTAGTGTTCACCCGTATGAGTGCAAACTATTTCACCCATGAACATGACCTATAGGAGCTCCTACATGTAGGAGATTATCCCACATAATAGCTGGGTAGATTTCCATTGTATAAAAATACCATATCTTTCTTATCCATTCTGAGGCTGATGGGCAAGTTACTTGCTTTTTTCTGGTCTCCTGTCACATAGAACAATTGTTTTCTCCCCTTTGATTTTCAGTGTATGAGTTTCTTCTTGAGTTAAATGTGTTTCTTGTGTACAGCATATTGATGGATCTTTTTTCTTGATCCACTTTCTTTGTGTTTCTTTTTCTTGCTGACCTGAGGCCATCTACATTAATGGTTACTACCAGCACACATTGGTTCATCTCTGCCCTGCTGTCCTCCTGCTGTTGGCCCTCTACTTTGCCTCTTCATTCTGTCTTGATTGGGGGTCCTCCTCTGCTGCTGTTCCTGGAATCATGGTCATCTTTCTCTCCCTAGAATATCCTTCAGCGCTTTCTGTAGGGTTGGTTTGGTGGTCATGAATTCCTTCAGTTATTGTTTATCATGGAAGTATCTTGTTTTTCCATCAACTTTGAAAGATAGTTTTGCAGGGTAGATCAATCTGGGTTGGAAGTTGTTTTCTTTCAGGATTTGAAACACTTCACTCCATACTCTTCTTGACTTGACACTTTGTGTTGACAAGTTTTCTGTGATTGGTTTTCCTTTATAGGTGATCTGTTTCTTTTCTCTAACAGCTTTTAATATTCTATTCTTGGGCTGAACTTCTGGGAACTTGATTATTACATGTCTGGGTTTAGATTTACTTTGGTTATGGCTAGTTCTATATGCTTCATTTATTTGTATGCCAGATCCTTTTCCCATGTTTGGCTGCTTTCTGCTATTATTCTCTAAATAGCCTTATTTCATTTGTGTTGACTCCTGCTTCTTCAGTGATACCTATCACTCTTAAATTATTTCTCTTTGCATCATCTTGAAGCCATTGAATTGTTAGTTCCTACTTCCTTGTTATTTTTAAAAGATCTTCCTTTCACAACTGCTAGCTGCAAGCCTGTCGTCAAGGTCTGATAGTCTATCTTCAGTCTCTTGTAAGCAGATTTGCCAGTTTTCAATTGACTTTTTAATTTTTTGGATATCTTTTTTTAATCTGTTTCATGCATTGCAATTCCTTTTTATATTGTTCATTCAATGCTCCCATCATTTTCCTGTGCTCTTCTACTTTTTTATCTGTGTCTTCTTTAGATATGCTGAGCAATTCTTTCATTTTTTTAAATTTCTTCTCTTACTTGAGACATTATTTGTGATCTGTTTATTTTTACAGTCTCATGGAGTTGCTTCTTTACTTCAGTTGTTATCCTCGCGGAGGTTTCAGGAGTGTAACTTCTGTTTTCTTCCATGACTGTATCTCCCAGACTTGTTCTGTGCAGGCTGGAGGTCTGAGATTGCTTCTTCTTCCTTCATCTTGACATTCTCCTGGATTCCTCCCAACAAGCTGGTTGTGGCGGGTCCAGGAACTTCCCACACTGGCGGCCCCCCAACAGTGTAGAGGAATGGGACGGGCACCTGGGTTCCTCTGACCCCAGGTTCACAGGGAGGTAGCAGGGAATGGGGCAGGCTTCCCCAGACCTGTGCAGCCACACTGGGCCTTCCCCGATGGCCAGGCATGTGTGGAGGGGGCCTGCTTCTCTCAGCCTGTGTGTCTACACCAGAACTCCCATGATGGTGGCAGGCACACAGGGCTGTGTTTGTCTGATTCTCCTGGAGGGTGATGGTTCCCTGAAAGATGCAAGGACCTCCAGTGCTGGCCTGCAGGTGAGGTGCATGGGGCTTACCTGGCTGCGTGTCCCCATTCCCACTGTCTGCCGCAGGAAGCAAGTCTTCTACCACCAGGCAGAGGCAGATCTGCTAGCTCTCTATGCCCATACTGGCCAAAAACATAGTATTTAAGAAATAAAATGGCTAAAGGAAAGAATTAAAAGCCACAGGAAATTTTAATTTCATATATGCCACTCTTTTTAGATACAGACATAAATATAAGATACAGGTATAATGTAAATACATACATATTTTCCCTTCCTTTCTCTTTACACGTATAAGACATGGATTTTTGCATGCGTAGGGTCTTAACTTTATGGAACACACTGCAAACAGATCTTAAGGATATGTTTAAGGTAGCTGAAAACTTTGGAAGTCAGGAATTGTGAAAGAAGAAATTAGTGAGTGCCTAAAACATGATGGGCATTAAATGAATGTTTGCTCAATGACCATTTTAAAAAGTAAGTGAATGAATGGTGGGTTCCTGCTCAGTAAGAAACCCTATTTTAGAATTAAATCTTGAAACTAGCTTAATTGACATGGGCAAGCACAGAGAACTTGAAAAACATTCTAGGCCATTGTTGGAGATCCATTAGAATGTCAGAGAATGCTTGTGCCTACAATATAAAAATGTTCTCCTCAAGAGGAAGTCATTTTGGAATTCATGATACTCAGAGTGCTTAAAATTAAATATTTCTTTAGCCTCAAGTAGTCAAAATCCACTCTTTACGATATGTGTTCTCAATGTGTTATTTACACTTTATCAAAATACAAACAGTATCTCATTTTTGTGATCCAGGCTGGATAAGAAATAACTCTAAAATGATCAAAAAGCAGTCATGAATATGTCGGTACCAACAGGAAATTTAAATGCAGATAATCTAATGCATCAGTATTATTTCTTGCACATTTCAAATACAATTAGTTGGGGCCAGGGATTTAGCTCAGTGGCACCAGCCTGCCCGGTAAGCATGAGATTGTGAGTTTGATCCCAGTGCCAATATATATATATATATATATATATATATATATATATATATATATTTGGTTCATTTTATGGAAACAGATTTTATTCACCTTTTTATACAAACAGATTCTAATTTAGTTAAAAAGCTAAATCTAGAACATTTAATAAGCTTGTTTGTGCATTGTTGCTTACATTTGAAAATTCTATAGTAAAGTTATTTAAAAATTATGTCTTTGCAGAAGCTCATTTCAGAAGTGAAAGTCCAAGTGGAAAACCAGGTACAAGGTGTCTATTTTAATGTAACTGCCATCTGTCCAGATGGCGCCCGAAAGCCAGGCACGGATGGGTGTGGAAACGTGACAAGCAGCGATGAAGTATGTAGCCACACATTTTCCTCATTTAAAATACATTGATTTTTGGCATGCTTTGTTGCAGAATTCCAGGCCATTCTGAAAAGCTACCAGTTCCTCTGAAGAATATTTACACTTCAGAGTAATTGTTAGTGTCTTTTCCAACAGCTCCTTCTTGTTTTCACTCAAATAACTATTCTCTCCAATTTTCATGTTCATAAATAAACATCCCATATAAAACACTGATATTAGTAGAAACTTCACACACTGGTGTCACAACTGGTACAGATGAGGAAAGGTCCTCTCCTTTAACAAGTGGTGACTATAATAATGATGCTAATACCTCTTTAGATGCAAACTGCTCATTCTTAGAGTAGATGTGAGGTTGAAAGTGTAATACCAGGGGAAATAATGGACAAGTTTAAAAAGGCTAAGAATTCCAAAACCTTCCACTTTGTGACTGTCTTAATATATTCATAATGAAGGAGAGAACTCCGTTACAAAGAATAAGAGCACCATTTAACCTAAAAGGGTGAAGCTCAGATCACAGAAGCATCAGGAAATAGGGTGAGAGGAGACAGGATTCTCTGAGAATTGGCAAAGAAGAGAACAGAAAGTACTTTTAGAGGAAATCCTTGTAGGGCAAAGTGGTTTTTAGTTAGTTGTTTGCCCTTTGAGACATTAATTATCTCATTTTTAAATGAATGGCCTAGACTAGAAGATTTCTAATATTTCTTCTAACTTATAAGGTTATTAATTACTTCAGTATCATATTATAAAGAAACAAATTGTTAGAATAGATAGAATATCCTAAGATTCCAAACTTAATAAAATAGGACTTTCTTTCTCTTTAAAGTGTGTTTTTTACTCTTGGATTTTGGAATTGGTGGGTGATGTCACTGAGCCTACAATTTTTATACTTTAATTATCACAAGTTGCTAATTCTTTAATTCCCTTTATCATAATCCCTTGGATTTTATTCCAAAGATAAATACCAGTTTACAAACTACACATTTTATTTCCATTAACTTATGAGGAATTTTTTGTCTAGCAAAAGTTAACAGAGTTATTTCCCAGAAAATTAACTCTTTCACAAAATCTCAAATTTAGAAGAATGGATTTCCTTACTTCGTATGACTTTTTTGTTTATTTTCTTTGCCTAAATCCCTTTTCCCCTTTACTTCCAACCAAATATCATAAACAACTTGATTTTCAAGATTGTCATCTGGTCTCTTAATTATATGAGCCCCAAGTTTAACTCTGCTATTAGTAATGGCACTGACAATATTATACTACACATCTGCTAATTTTTAATATTATTTTGCTGGAGAGTGTTTGAGACAGGGTCTGCTCATGTAGTCCAGGCCTGCCCTGAACTCACTATGTAGCTCAGGCTGGCCTCAAACTCATAGTGGTGCCCCTGCTTCAGCCTCCCTAGTGCTGCTGGGTTGCTGGGTTGATAGGTATGTGTCTCTGTGCCCTACTCTAATATTTTTAAAGACAAAAACATTTCAAGTAAAATACTAGCATCAACTGTATATTAATTCTAATATTGCAATTGTTACTCAAATTCTTAACTTATAGAAGACCTTAAATTTAGATATTTTGTATCATGTGATATGTAATTCCCAATGAAAAAACCTAGCACATATTAGTTTTAAATTGTAACAAATTTCAGTCCAACATGAAAATACACACACACACACACACACACACACACACACACTTATTTTCCAAAGTATCTGATGATGGATGATAAGGTAGCTCAAAATACTAATAGACACATTAATCAATCCTGTTTTGGAAAGAAAAATAAAGAAACAGAAAAAAAAGGAAAAATTCGCAGGAGATAAAAACCAAGTTCTTTCCATCCTGGTTCTATAGTTCTGGACTAATCTCTCACCCTGTGTTGAAGTCTTAAGAGTTGAAAAGGAGTCCTCAGCCTGTATTCCTTGGATAATACAAGAGAAAACCTCATCTTTTATCTCCACTGACGATCTCTATTTTACTACAGTTTATCTCTGAAGTTTTACTTGGGGCCCTAATAAATAAATAAACACATAAATAAACTGCATTTGAACATCTGAGAGTTTAAAATTACTAGAGCACACCCAATATTCAGGAACCTCAAATTTTCAGAGCTAAATCCAGAAACTGATAAGTCCACTGTCAAGTTTTCTAAGAAAGTAGTCATCAAAAGTAGAATAGACCAAAAAAAGTAGAATAGACACTTGTAACTTCTACAGGCATACTCAATTCTGTTTAATAATATACTTTAAGCAATTAGCAATCATCCCTTCCTTTAATTTCTAAATAAATAATTATCTAAATAAATGACAAAAGGGAGGATTTTTCATCTGCGTATAAAAGAGACTATACATATATTTTATAAATATTGTTAGCTTCTCTAAAATGGTATATCATTGATTCAAATGTTATTAACAGATGCAATATTGTCAATGAAAAATTAGAAGATGTCAATATATTTCCTTTTTCTTCTGAATTTAGGTTCTTTTCAATGTAACAGTTACAATGAAAAACTGTGATGTCACAGGAGGAAAAAACTATGCAATAATCAAACCAATTGGTTTCAATGAAACCACTAAAATTCACATATATAAAAGCTGCAGCTGTCAGTGTGAGGACCACAAAAGGCCAAGAAGGAAGTGTGTAGACGAGACTCTTCTCGACTCCAAGTGCTGGCAGTGTGATGAGAGTGACTGTCGTTTGGAAGAAGACAGATTTCTGTCTGAAAGTTGCAAGCCACAAAAGGACCAACCTGCTTGCAGTGGCCGAGGAGTTTGTGTTTGTGGGAAGTGCGTATGTCACAGAACTAAGCTTGGAAAAGTTTATGGAAAATACTGTGAAAAGGATGATTTTTCCTGTCCGTATCACCATGGAAATCTATGTGCGGGTGAGTATAAATATATACAGGTAGTTTTGAGTAACTGCTGCCACAGTAGCATATATGTTAAATTATATTTAAATCGCATTATGAATTAGTACCACTGAATCTGAATTTAATGTTCAAAGTTTTATAGTCTGTGAAATTAAGTCACAGCAGTAGACTTATAGCACATGATCTGTATGTTTATAATTTAAACATACAAGATATACTTTCAAATAAAAAGCTAAAATTACTTCGTATTTTCATGTATTCCTTGATCTTAAAAAGAATGATACCAGAGAAGGAAATGATGGGGGTGGCTGACACACTTTCTAGAAGAATAAGTTTGATTCATTCTGGCAAATGGTCACTCCCTGCAGCTTGCTCAGAGGATTTTATTTCTGTCAGGATAAGGGGAAGCGAACTATAAAAATATACTTTTCATTCACTGGAAAATTCTTAATGCATCATCATAGATGGTATTGTAAGTTTGTGGTAATTTAAACCTTGCCAGTTTATTTTTGGAACACCACCAGCGAGGGAATTGCCAAAAGACAGCATTCTTCAGAAAGAAAATACTGGATTACTAACTAATCTAGAAAATTAGTTCCTCTGGCCACACACAGACCAAATTTTAAAGTGAACTAAGTTAAAATAAAAATAGTATAAGGGTTACTTTTGGCTAATTCAGTTTACTGCCACCTACAGGTTAGAGTTCAAAAAATCTGGATTGTTTAAAAGTACAAAGTAGTTTTCAAATGTTACACTAACTGGTATCTGAGTTCTGTTGCAGTTTTTTCACGTCAGTATGGAAAATTCACTTATTTTGAAAGCTTTTTTTTAATAATTTCATTTTATTAGATAAATATTTGTTAAATTATGCTATATAGAAATAATTCATTGTCCTAAGCATATGGAAAGTAATGAACATTTAAAAAAATTGTTTTAATTCTTGTGTAAGTTAAAAATGTGGCCAGTACTACATCAATGTGAAAGGGCAAATAGTATATATCTATATCTATACGTTTTATATTTCAAACATTTAGTCAGCTGTAACTGGAATTGTGGCTAGGCTGGGTTTAAAAATGACTTCAGAATGAACCAACAGTCGACTACTGCATTTTACAGAGCAAGGAAATATTGTTTTATAGGGAAAAGAAGGAATTTTCTGAGATCATTTCCTATAGCTGGCAATCTCTTAAAGTTTCATATACATTTGAGAGTCCCAGTCTCTGCAATGAAATATCAAAAATCTATGTACTAATCCTCCTATACAATGTGGTACTACCGACCCACAAGCAGTTGAGAATCTGACTCAGATGATTGTGTCTGAGTGCAAACTGCATTTTCTTCACTACTCTCCTCTGGGAATAAAAACACATGTTCACAGGTCATCTAGCTGTGAGTTGGCGTGCAGGCTGTACGAGGATCGGGGTCTGGCAGATGTTTGGCCTAGATCTCATTAGTTTTACACTTAGCAAATTGAACTGACTCAATGTTAGACTCTGAGAGACACTTAACCTAGATTAAGCTCAACACTAAGAGAAAGGAGGAGGGTGAAGAAAAGGAGGGAGAGAAAGAAAAAAAGCAAGAAAAAGGAGAGGAAAAAAAAGCTGGTGGTTCTGTAGCCAAATACATTTGAGAAATACTATATGATCCTGTAAAGTTTACTCCCTCGTGGAGATTTCTAGTTCACACTGGCATATTAAATTTTGGTCACTGAGTCTAAAATCCACTTAATTATGTATAACTCATGTTTCCTCATAATATTCATCACATAAATGCCCTTCACTACTATCACCTTACACACACTCACACACGCACACGCACACACACACACACACACACACGCACACGCACACGCACGCACTCCGTCTTCCTTGTTCTCTTCCGTGTACCATCTAACAGCCCAGATTAGGGCCACCCTGCTAACCTACTAAATGATGCTCGGCAGCTGTGAAAAGATAGTTTAAACTTCTCGGCAGATCTGATATTTAAACCCAGCCTAAGCATCACATCCCGAGATCTTTCAAACTTAAAAACGCCCCTTGGCAATAGTGAGACTGCAGTAATTGCATATATTGTAGACACCACTAATGAAGTATTTGTATTTTTTCATTACTTTAGCTTTTGTAACCTCTGTATATTTATGTGTTTTAATTTAAAATTGAATGTACAGTGCACTCAAGTAGTCTGGCAGCCACCAAAGCAGGAGCTCCCTTCAGCCTCATTAGAACAATACGTTAGTGTGGAGAGATGATCTACAATGGAACAACTTCAGAAACAGGCATTCCTAAACGCTGGCACCATTTATTTCAGACAGATACAAAACAATGCTGTTTCCATTCACTTGACTGCAGTGTGTTTCCATGGAGATGGGGATGGGGGAGTCCAGGTTCAAAAACTCTTCCCAAAGCCAGTGGTCTCTATCAGTTAAATCCCGGTGTGCCTCTGTTACAGGGCATGGAGAGTGTGAAGCTGGCAAATGCCGATGCTTCAGTGGCTGGGATGGGGATCAGTGCCAGTGCCCGTCAGCGTCCGCTCAGCACTGTGTCAACTCCAAGGGCCAGGTGTGCAGCGGGAGAGGCACGTGTGTGTGCGGCAGATGCGAGTGCACCGACCCCAGGAGCATCGGCCGCTTCTGCGAACACTGCCCCACCTGCCACTCAGCCTGCGGTGACAACTGGTACGAGGTTCCTGTCCCCTGTATACACAAAACAGTCCTTCAGCACAGCTGGTTTTGTTCTTTATTATCCCTTCCTTAAAATTCATGACTCAGATAAATTGTTCCATCATGCTCAAAAAGTAATTGAATAGGGGATTTGAGGAATTAGGGTACTTGGATTCCAATATTTGGCCACTAAATAGCTGCTGGAGCAACCAAATAAGTCCAGGTATTCACTATCTTAGGTTTTTTGTTTTGTTTTGTTTTTGTTTTCTGGTTTTTTTGTTGTTGCTGTTTTGTTTTGTTTTGTTTTGTTTAAGTTTTTGAAAAGAGCTGCCTGTTACCCAGCTGGCTACGAGTTAATTGTATGTTTAGGACAAGTTTTAAAAGTATATGTGACAAGGGGAAAGGAAAAAGGAATCAAATAAAAAGAGAAAAAATTAAAAAAAAAAAAAAAAAAAAAAAAAAAAAGGAAACCAAACTTGTAAATGGAGGAGGGCCAGGGATTTAGCTCATCGGCCTAAGGGCACAAGCATTTGGCTGGCAAGCTTGAGGTTGCGAGTTGGATCCCTGGTACCAAAAAAGTAAAATAAACTAAATAAAGAAGGAGGAGGAAGGAAAGAAGAGCTGAAGGCAAGGGAGGCGGATGGTGAAAAAAATAAAGATATATTATGCACAGGCACAAAATCCCCATGAATATGATCATTATGTATGCCAAATATGTACTAATAAAACAATCCTCTGTGGATTGATTTCTTGATACAGAGAGTGAGGATAATAATAATGCCTTACCATAGTTCTATGAAAGAAGTAAATGATTTATATTAAAAAATCTTCAGTGCATGACAATCACTAAATAAATGTTTGCTATTACCGTGTTTTACTTTTACTATGATTAAGAATGACGATGGCTATGAAGTGGTCTGGAAATATGATACACATGTGAAAGGTGATACATTAAATGAAGGTAACATTATTATTCTGCATTAAAATTTTTCCAGTAAAAATTATAGACTTGTTCGAAGACCACTAATCTATAAACATCACTGTACCTTCTAATTTATTCTATTCAAATTTTAGAACATTTACTTTCTCATGTTGCAAGATTTTAAAATTGTGTGTAATGATTTAAGTCATTTAGAAATACAGTATTTCAAAATAACAATGTGAATTTTCTGTAGTGCACCTTATTAAAATTTGGATTGTTATTTGTATTTCTCCATACAATGCATTAGAGCCTACACATTTAAAGAATAAATATATCCCCTTATAGGAACTGCATGCAATGCCTTCACCCTCACAATCTGTCTCAAGCTGTACTTGCTCAGTGTAAAACCTCATGTGCTCTCCTGGATCAACTTTATGTTGACCAAGCATCAGGTAAGCCAGACGTTTGTGCTCCAAGAATGCAGAGCATGTGTTAGGGTCATGTTCCCTAAAAGGTCCTGTAACTAACCATGCTAAAGGGGGTGGGGGTGCAATGGCTTTGATTTTTGTTTTATTATTAAACACTGCTTTATTTTTAAAACAGTTTTATTGAGGTTTCTTAGGTATATGAAAACTGCACATGTGCTTGTATGGGATTGGGTGAACTTGTAATTCGTGTGTTTAAAACTCTCAAAGATGGTTCTGCTCACTAGTTAGGTTTCCCACCTCACCTTCACAGCTGTCTTTCCACACTGAGCACCTCCATGGAGCGGCCTCCAAATGAATTGGCTAGCAAGGCCTCAGTTAAACCCAAAATACGGTTCCCCATGTAGAATCATTTCGCTAAAAGATAAGCCCTGTGGGACCATCATTTTTCTTCATAACTCAAACTTGCTTCTGATTCTGACCATCCTTACATCAGATCAACATTTGCTCTCATATTTCAAGTAAAGCCATAAAATTCTGAGCAACAGTGATCTGCTTTTACAGTATATGTAACTTCAAAAGAGCATTCCTGAACTTCTCATTCTGATATATTTATATTTAGGGGCATATAACTGTGTCATAATGGAGAGGATTTGGAACTTTTAGTCTGAGGATCTTGGCCTAAAGCCTTTAGCATTATTAGGAAATATCAGCCCTCCTACAAATTTCCCTGAACATCAATTTACTCATCTGTGAAAGTAAGGTAATACAGCCTCAAAGTCTGTAAGACATAAATGAAGCTGCAGAGAAGAACAAGCTTTCTCCCAAGCTTTGTTTTCTTTTTCTTTCACATCCATACTGATCTTAGTCCATAACGAATTTGGCACCGAAAAGAGCTCCATGTGCTGCCAGCTGGGGCTGCAGCAATCACTCCAGAAAGCCAAGTGCCTTTCTAATAAATAGGGCCCTTACTATTAACATGTCATTTATTACGTTGGGTAAACATTACTGTGACTTAAGCGTTATTACAAATAGTATTCCCTTAAATCTCTGTAGGAAAAGCCCTGGCCTGACCTAAACTAAGAAAAAGCATGGGTCAGGAATAAATGTTTGACCATGTGTGACAGCATTTAAAAATGCATGCAGATTTAAACCCTGGAAATGTCCTCTGTCTTAAGCCATGAGAAGTACTTCTGAAATGTCTCAGTAGTTAGAGGACTTCCCTCCTCTTGACAACTATTGTGCAAGAAGAGGGAAAGGGTGTTGCTTAGGCACCTCTGTTATCTACGCACTCAGTCACACTTAAAAGGTCTTTCTTTTTCTCTGGCTAAGGTCCCACCTGGAGAAGAGCCAGAAAGTAAGATCAAGCCACGTGCCCCCTCTGAGGCCCTGCCTTAGCAATTGAGTACCCTGAGTCAGCCAAGGGAAATGACTGTCTGTCCACACAAATGTCAGGAGGGTCATTAACCAGAAGGTGACTGTTTAGAACTCAAAGACTCCCTTTGAACACAGCATCTTAAATTGTGTCTCCCTGAGAATTGTAACAATGGAAGATTTACACCCCAATCTTGCATTTACATACCAATAAGTAGCCCAGGGGTCTGCCTTTGACCTTCTTTTCAAGGTCCTTTATCACTGACCAAAAGAATCTGGGCTCTGTGGGACAGGACCTCCTGTCCTTGTCACTGAGTTTTTCCCAACAAAGAGCACACTTAGCCTTCACTACAAATCTGGACCCACGTCACCTATGATTGGATAATGCTCCCTTCCCAGCCTTGGCCTTCTCCCAAGAGGCCTTCTCAGCTACAAGGGAGACTTCAACATTTTGACGAAAGCTCCCAAGGTCCACTGAACAGGCAGAGGAACACAGGCTTCTTTAGGTCAGGAAGTGATTTTACACATTTGGGGCAGCTGGTGAGTTCTGTGGAATACTTGCTATTTCGCAATGGTGTTCCTCTAAGAGTAGGGTGATACCTCTGGCAGTAACATAGCCTGCATATTTTTCAGTAAGACTTTGCCAAGGACTGGTGCTAACACAGAGGGTTAGCATGCCTGTCCTCTTAAAACAGCATTTTTTTTTTCTCCAGCTAGTAATTATTTGTTCTTGGAAAAATACATAATTAATTTTAGGAGCACATAGCATAGGTTTGGTTAAGGGAAGTAAGATGTAAACTAATAAAAAAGAGATTTGTATGTTGTCTCAAATTGGACACTCCTATTTCCTATGTGTGCTAATAATGAAAACTTATGCTGCAATTTCAGAGGAAATATTTATCTATTAGAATGATGACTGATTTTAGTTTCTGCAGATGTTTACTTTATTTTCCATTACTTGTGTGCAAGAAATGAAGAGAAAGCATAACAACAGATACATATGCTAATGCCCAGTTATTAAATAATTTTTTAAGTCCTATTTTTCACTTATGGTTCAACAATACACGCTACAAAAATTGCCCCTTGTTCTATCATGTAAAAATTATATTTGGGTAAAGGACTTATGAAATGCCCTAGTATAAATGACTGTACAGTTATGGCAGTGGTCTAACGTGGCAGAAGGCCAAAGCGGGAACACTTACTACTTCCTCCTTCCTCTTCAGCCCTAATTGCACCTCCCCTTCCTGTTTGTATGCACAGAGAATTCCAATCAGTTCCTCCCACGTCATCAATATCTGCTCCATGTGCCATTTCTGATTAGAGGCCATAGAACCCTCTGCCTGTCTGTATCTGATCGAAGGACACAGCCCAGCTGCCATGGGTTGTGTTCTCCTCACCATGTCCTCAATTCAATAAACCTGTTCATTTTGTACTTTTTGCTTCTCTATCATGCCAGAGAGAATACTCTAACAATTTAGACATATTCCCAAAGGACTAATACAATTATAGGCTCAAGCTGCAAAGAAATAATGTTATTAAATACTTTAATTGTAGCTATTTTCCAAAGGAAGGTTGTAATATTTTAGCAATAAATGTGCAATAAAGATGTCTTCTGTTTTGAAAATATGGATTTGTAAATTGAAATGTGAACTTCATTTACATGATAGAATCCTTTGATTTATTAAACTGATTTTCAATCAGGTCTTTCTTGTTTTATTACAGAATGTTTATCCAGCCCTAGCTACTTACGAATATTCTTCATCATATTCATAGTTACTTTCTTGATTGGGTTGCTGAAGGTCCTTATCATTAGGCAGGTGATACTACAGTGGAATAGTAGTAAAGTCAAGTCCTCATCAGATTACAGAATGTCCACCTCAAAAAAGGTCAGTGAATTCTACAAAATGGTGATTATCAGTGTATTAATGTCTAACAATATTTAGGCCTTAAATTAATAATAGTATTTCTTCTCCATCAAGGATAAGTTGATTCTTCAGAGTGTTTGCACAAGAGCAGTCACCTACCGACGTGAGAAGCCCGAAGAAATAAAAATGGATATCAACAAATTAAATGCTCATGAGACTTTCAGGTGCAACTTCTAAAAGAAGACTTTAAAAATATTCTGTGGGAAACTGGATTTTTAAATATTGCTCCTAAAAAATATTAAGTGTAAAAGTCACAAGAAGAAACAAATTGTTCAAGACCATGACAACTGTTGGTTGTATATTTGAATGAAGACTGACACGCATCCTCATTGCCATGTGACTCACATAGCTGCTGAATTTTTCAGAAAAAAAAATGTGTCTTACTACTGTTTTGAGACTAGTGTCATGTAGCACTTTACTGTAATATATAACTTATTTAGATCAGCATAGAATGTAGATCATCTGAAGAGCACTGATTACACTTTGCAGGTACCTGTCATTCCTGCGCTTCCCAGAGACACAATGTTCTTGGATAGATTAGTACTGTGTCACTATAAGGGTGCAGCAACAATCCTGCCCTGAACATGCGGATGAAAACATAACCCGGCAGTTACATACTAAAATTGCCAAACCCTTCAACTATTGGCAGTGATTAGCCAAGAATCCTAGGCTCGTTCAGAAGGTGAACAGATAGAACCATAATCTTAAGGAATATTGCTATGTGGTTTGATGCATGTGTTTATGTGTTCTCCTTTTTACAAAATGGATATTAATTCCAACAATCTCTCCTTTTTGCATTTATACTTTGCCTTTACTCTTTCCGGGATAAGTTTATATATGTCACAGATGACTGGATTAAATAAGTGCTAAGGTACTACTGCCATAAACCTGTAATACAATGTCACTTTACTAGAATAACTGGTTTTAAAAACTGAATGTTAAGAAAGGACACTGTAAAGTATCATCTAAACCTGAACAACTTCAGTATTTAAAGATGTGGTATTTTCTTACCTGGTAAACTGGATGGATTGTTTCATCATTTCACTAGTCTAATATGTAAATTGAAATTTACAAGACAATGAGAAACTGCCTCAAGCAAAGTCCCTCATTTGTAGATGAGTTTGCTAAGATTTGCTCCAAATAGATATAAATTTTTTCTAACAAAAAGCTATGTATAATCTTTTGCCCTTTAATGCAACCTAAAGATATTCTTTCTTTGAATTCATTCCAATCTAACCCATCAGATATCATGAAAGTGTAAAATTGGAAGAAGAAAATATAATGTTTTAGAAATAAGTTAGTTCTCTTTAGTAAGGGGACTGAAGCTCAGTAATTTAAATGATTTCTCAAAGAAATATCCAAGTGATGAAGTGGCAGCATTAGGTTGAGAGTTTATGTCTTCTAATTGCAAGCTAGTACTCATTGCACAATAGCATGCTACCTCTTGAATCTTTACAATACTCAATTGGCCAAGTTTTTAAAATCTGGTTTGCTGATGTAAATATATGGAGTTGAGAAAATTTCAAGGCAGGATAGAAAACAATCCAACTAAATTGTCCTTAATTGATTTCCATTCTTTCCTACTAATTAGCAGCATGGCATAACCCAGAGAAATCTCTTCACATTATAGCCTACAAACAGCGCCCCCTGGAGTTGTGCTTTGCTCAATTCCGGATTTCTTTTTAAGGTCTGTGAGCCCTAACTTATTTGAAGGAAACTCCTTCACATTGCATACCCCTATAGACCTATTCAGTTTGAGTTTATTGGCTAGCAGTACAACTGGCCTGTGTGAGGTACAATTTTACCTAAACAGCAAAGGAAATTATTTCAAATTCCTTTGAAATTCCCAGACTTTCTGTCTTCCAATATTTGAGTGAAAGTTCTAGATGAAAACTAACTTCCATCCTGTATTCTGCCCCAGAGAGAGCTGAAAATAATGTTAAGTTGTTTTAAGGCTGACAAACACAACAACTTCATTAACTGTCCTCTATAGCTAGCAGCTATGATGATGCTAAATTGAATATAATTTCCTTTCCCAAACAAGAAGTTGGGGACACTGTTTATTTCTGTTGTGTGACTCACTTGTACAAGAAAATTGTGGTTACTAATGACGATATATCTTACATCTTGTAGTCTAACACATATACACACCCTTTTATGAATACATAAATGAATGGATGCTTGAGAACTCACCAAAACAAAACATGGGAAGATAATCTATCATTGAAAGTGCTGACAGTTTAAAAATTAACATTACAGTGTTTGTGAACAATAAATTATTATAAGGAATGAGCAAAACAGCGTAATAAAATTAAATCCTTAAAAATTAAGGATTTATATATTTTAAACCCTCACTAATTTGCACTAACTTCCAAGTGGACCAAGTCTGTTTTCATGGGAAGGGTTAAACTTCCTTGTAGGCAATGCAGTGCTACATGGTGATTGTACTTATGTTTGGGATGTGTTGTGTGTTTTTTTTTTTTTTTATTTACTTAAAAAGCTAATTCATAAAGACTTTAGGGCTTATATTTTACTTGAATAATAATATTTTTTCTGTGTAATGGTTTGTGAGAAGATAATTAATATTTGACTAGTTATAATTAATTAAAAGATAAGGGGAAACAGGGTATTCTTAGATTAAATAATTTATGTAAATAGAACCTATTTTCAGCTACAGTGACCACAGGAACCTTTTGAGATTCATGGATATTAAATGCAATTAATGAAATTTTAACTTGCTAACAAAATTAGGAACTTGAGAAACACTTTGGTACAGTATCATGTTTGTGCCCTAAAATCTGCTAATGACTAATAAGAAATGTACCATACATACACTACAACATAACTGCATGCAGCTGATTTCTCTGGGACATCTTCACACTGTAGTATACATGTGTTTATACGTATCTGATATATTTTTGGAAAACTGCTGGTATTTATTATGCCACAGACATTCTGTAGAAAACTTAAAAATTAACTAAAAATCTTATGTCCCAAATGTTCGACTTAGTTTTGATTTATAAATATAACAAAAAAACTAGCTATTTCTAGAGCAAATTTTTCAAAATTCAAAAATATTAAAATTAGAGGTTGAAGGTTTAGCTCAGCACACCTGCCCGGCAAGTGCAAGGTCTTGAGTTTAATCCTTGCCAACTAAAGAAAAAAATAAAAAAAATAGATAAAATAAAATAAGTGGATACATCAGAACATTTCACCAAATAATAAAAATCTTTAAAGTACTTCATTTCCATTGAAAATATTTTATGTACACAAGCAGGCATCCATGAGACACTGAAATAGTCTGTGCTATATTTTGAAAATTTTACTTCATAGAATTGTACTCCTCCTGATACCCATTTACTAGATTAGATGCAAGGCTTTTCCTTACTTTCCTGAGTCCTATTTTTATCTACTTACTATTTCCCAAGAGATTTCCCTAAAACTTTAAGGTCAATAAGCCTAATTATGAAAAATAATAGAATGTAATGGTATAAATAAGTTCTTCACTTCCAAATATTGCTTGCTGATTTTAATATTCATTTGCGTCCATGTTCTAAACAGGGACAGATCTGTTAAAACTAAGAATTTTAAATTTTTACAAGTCAGCTTCGTTCCATTCTCAAAGATTCACAATACATATGTTGTCATAAGTGTAGAAAATGAATTTCAGTTACTTAGAAGCTCAATTATATTTCTATTATATTCTCTTTTTTACTTTTAATATTTAATTTATAAATGTATTTATCTAAACCTCCACTTAATGCAGTGCAAACTTTTTCAAAGGAGTATAGAAGGAGACTGCATTCAGATCATTTCCTTTTTCTCTTGTATTTCTTACATAGCAAATTTATTATGTATAACTGACTGTACATATCCATATGTGTCTCACTGATTTTAAAACACACACCTTTTCAATTTAATAACTCTGGAATTGTGATTTCCTGAAATTGCAATGTCTCATTGGCATCTTAGGTGCAGTGTTTTGAATGAATATTACACTAATTCAATTTTAACTAAACATTCATGACTATTGAAATACTCCTTATAAATGTTGGTGAATTCATTTATCATAATATATGAGGCCAATTTTCAATAAAATTACATTATAAACAATTTCCTTTTGTCAGCTCTGATCCTGCATATATTTAAGTTACAAAAGTTGAAAGCCCCAAAGAACTCTTATTCATATTTTAAGCCATGAATAATGATTTCAGCAAACCTAAGTTAACTGACAAGAATGGGTGAGTTTCTCCAACTGTTGTTAAAAAATTTTTATTCTTTCTAATTCTAAGGAATTTTTATAAGATCATCTCACATTTAAATAAAATTAACTGGATAAATGTCCCATCAAGCCATCATAATTAGGTGTTATAGCATCTTACGTCTCATTTCAACTGCAGGAGGAAAATAAAATACAACAAATCTGTCTTCTCCAGTTCTCCTACTTTTTGCTTTTCATCCTTTCTGTTCTTTTTATGATTTTCTTTCAAACCCATGTAATAACTGTTGTAAAATTGCATACCTACATTATTTTCATTATGTAAAACAATTGTTCAGCTTTCAGAGCAGCTTTTAATGAAATACCTGAAAGTCATAACACTACTCTTAATCTACCTGAAATACTCTTTTGCATAAGATTTTTATGTCTATAAGTTAACTCTATTGATCAGGTTTCCAGCCTCTACAACCAACTTTATCTACAATTGTCTAATAAAACAGTACAAAAACTGTAATCATCAAGAATTGAAAATATGTGATTTATATAGAGTTTAACAACTTTACACTATCCAACAGACAAATGTGATTTTGATAAGACTTCAACTTTATGGTACATAGATTTTATTAAAAATATTAAGTATAGAATATTTTAATTTTAAATTATAAGAAAATACAAATTTGCACATATTAATATAGAAATTCATTTGTGTATATTTAACATACTTTTAAAATTATTTTACATGTATCTGCTACTTTACTAAGGTTTTTAAACCTCTGCAAAAATAAAAAATGTTTTTAAATTATCAGTAACATAATCTTATTGTGTTTCACATAACATATACTGCCTTTGTAAAAAAATTAATATAGAATATATTTTTAAATTAAAGTATTTGAATATGGAATAGCTGTAAGAAAGAAGTAAATTCTTCCTGAACATGTTTCATATTGTTTCTGGCTTTGGATTATACATATAGCTACATTGCCTTAAATGATACAGAAGATTGAGAATATGATAATTTCACATAATATACTATGAACCTGCTCACACAACTCTTAACTGACTACTAACTTTGGTTTTATGTATTTATTAAAGAGCTGACACTGTAGATTGTTGTGAGATGTTTATTTTTTTAACAGAGCTTATTACCGTTATGACAAGGCATTTAATTAATGCACCATTCTGTTCAAAAGTAGTTGCTAATCAATATGAAATTTTGTGTTTTAAAATAAAATGTAAAGATTTAAGAATACAAAGGATTCTTCTTTATTTGTCATGTTCTACACGACCCTCAAAGCTACCAGACAACAGTAAATTATCACATCAGGAAATGTGGTTAACATCTGTTCACTGTTATCAATAGATGACATAACATAATTGTTAAAAGCTACTATTTGTAAGATATTGTGAGGCTAATGAAGCATAGGGCTATTTTAATTTCCCTTTCACTTTTCACAGCTGCTCAACAGTGAGATTAAAAGAAATCATCTAACATCAAAGAACTGAGAAGATGGCTAAATGTTAAAACAGGACTTTTCTACCTACATAGGACCTCCATCAATAAATGTATGGTAGAAATCTTGATACAAAGGGAATGTTTTCATAAATTTCAATTGCACATTCTAGAGAGTCACACTTAAATGAAACATATTGAATTCTTGTGCATTGTGTATTCTTCATTTGACTTATGGGAGAGAACAAGGCAAAAGAGTGGGGAGGGGAACATGTAAAACATTAACCCGTAGCCCCCTGTCCTTAGTGAAGTGTTAATTAAGAGTTTGAAGAAGAAGGTATGGTGCAAGGTCCCTTTAGATAGAAAGCTTATGTGTGAGAGATCAGATAGAAGCTATCAGAATGTCTCATAAGGCTTTACTTTGGAGAAATCATCCCAGTTGTGTCTGTCATACTCAGAACTCTCATTTTCTTATATGACTGTTACTTGGTACCATCCTCTATCCCTCTCCTTTAGTAATAGGCTCTGACTCCTGAGTTTCCACAAAGCACACCACTGAGACTGAAATTCCCATACCTCTGCAGCTGCCCTTGGGTACACTGCGATGGAAGAAGTATTACTTCACTGAAGCCCCAGCAACACCAACACTCTTTTCCCAATAAGAAAAGTGAGATGCAGAGAAGTTAAGGATTTTAAACAACTGTATATAGTCAGCAAGTAGCCAAGGTTAAATTCATACCCAAGGTTCATGTTTCTTTCTGAACGTGATTGGTATGCATTATAAGGAGAGATACTAGTTCAGCTATCACAGGTTAATCTTTGTCCCTATGCCCTATAAAATATATGCTATAAAGTTAGAGATGATGAGATATATGCACAAATATCACACATAAAAAAGGATCAGGCCCTAAAAATGACAGATGAAATGTGAAGGGCATGCAAATGCCAGAGTCAGGTGCATGAAGAGAGTAGAGGACCATAAAGATAGGCATTGGTATTTCAGGGAAGGTGAGTGTGTACACGCAGAAAGAGGAGGTTAGGGAGACCCTGTAAAGCATGATCAAAGGCAGAGAAGCATCCAACAACATTTAATTCTTGTTGAGATAAAGCATGGGCGGGGTGTGGTTGAATAGGCCTGAGATCCCAGCACTCAGAGGGCAGAAGCAGGAAAAGCACCATGAATGGGCCACTTGAGTTCACAGTGAATTCAAGGACAGCCTGAACTACATAGCTAGACTTTATCTCACACACACAAAAAGTATGGATAGTGAAAGACAGTAAGTCCTAGATTATGGAGAGCTTGATTTCCAGGCTAGCAATATCAAGATTTGATTACTAGGAAGAAAGAAACTTGTTTTTGCAGAGACAGGTCATATTATTGGAGTTAAATTTGTTGGCATATATTTACATAAACCATAATTTTTAAACATGAATTTTCATTCTGTCTAATCCAGTTGAAATATGATTTACTATTTAACAAATTAAATTCCTCTTAGTACTATCTTTAAATACCATTTAATACCAGTATGAAAAAATGAAAGTAAAATGTAAAATAACAGAGATCTTAGAAATCTAACCTCTTGGTGGCAATTGCTTTTGAATACAAGCGTATTTTTTTTGATTTTTTTTATTTAAGGAGAAAAGAAAAAAAAACAGTGAAAGGGTACAAGTTATACAGATTTACAGAAGAAAAAAATAAACAGTAGGAAATCACTAGTTAATGGATTACATATTGCCATCTTCGAAATTATTGTTCAAGTCACAAAATTAAAGATTGTAGAGTGGACATGGGTATTTTTTAAATGTTTCTAAGCACTAAGTATAGATACTGTACATGTGTCACACATTTATTGTAAAACTTCAAAATATTTAAACATTAAAATTAAATAAATTAATAATTTACTTTCATTCAATCACCCAGCTGATCATTGCCATATATTTCCAGGAAAACGCACACAACTCCATTTATAATTAAGAAATAAATACACTATTAATAATGGGCGCCTTCTGTTCTTCCTAAAGATTATTGGGGTTTATTTAGTGAGGCATATTTTTTATTCAAAAGTATACTAAATATTCTTTCATGTCCATAATTTGCAACTGTTTTAATAGGTGGGAACCATCCTAGCTATGAATATGCCACAGCTGTACCTCATTTCCATTGAGAAAAGAATGCACAGGATATGGTACCACGTACAAAGCATTGGGACCAACCTCATTATCCAATAAGAAGACATTAATTAAATTGCTTCTGAATGGGGGAGAACTGCATATTGACAGTGTAGAAGAGAAAACGGCAGCTTACTGAGGGAAATGTCCGTGTTGAGAAGGTTTGGGTTCATCTAGGCACAACAGGAGGCCATTTCAAATCACGACAGAGAGGAGGCAGGTCGCTGAGCATGAAGACTTTTTGTGAAGAAGTAAAGGTCAGACATAGATGGGGGGAGAGTATGACCTGCTGCCCAAATATTTGAGAGAAGTTGGGAATTGGCTAGACAAAGGTGATAAAGACATTTGTGAAAGAGAATTGCAATGTCAACTCCAAAAGGCCCTGCAGGCGCCTGTCCAGCCTGGATAAAACTTCCAGTCTAGTCTCACAAACCACACTATTCTTGCCAATCCATGACTTTCAGACTAAATTCTCATTTTATCAAAATATTTGGTCAGACAAAACTAAAGCTGAGAATTTTTAAACCATGTCAATGATCATGCTTTCAAATATTATGAAAATAAACCCGATTGAAGTATAAGAACCGTATCTTTGAGTATAATTATTTATATGGCAATACTATGGTCACAATTGGAAGCATTGGGGATCTGAGAGCTAAACTGCACTTTTGGTCTCAACACAGCAACCTGTGGCACTTATTTCAGCTAGTACATGATTGTTGCTCTGACTTCTTCCACTGAGTCACCTGAAGATCTGAAAAACTAGGCTGATGTGATGGAGTGGACTGGTAATCTCAGCACTCTGGGAGGCTGAAGCAGGAGAGTCACAAATCTGAATATAGCCTGAATATCTCAGTAACTTAGAAAGACCTTGTCTGGAAATAAAAGTTGAAATGATCTGCAGATGTAACTTTGCTCAAAAGCCCTGGGTTTAAGCCCTATTACATACAATCATCCATACATACCTACATGCATGCATGCATGCATTTTTAAAACTGCTTTAAATCTGAAAACATTTTCAAACTACACTGTTAAAGGAATGCTCTTTCTGCACTGGGCTTAGCATATTCTGTACTGCTCTTCCTTTCCAATATCCCCCCTAACTACCATTAAAGTTCTATGACATAATTATCCACTTTAGAAAATTTGTATTAATCTTTAACAATGTTTTTACATCTTTCCTATTAGATATAATATAATCGATAAGTGCATAGTGTTATTAAAGGGGGCTGTTTGTCAGCAGCAGCTGCAGCAGCATCACCTGAAAATCTGTTAGAAATACAGAGAGTTGGTCTCTAGCCCAGACTATCTAATGCAGAAGCATAAGAAATGAGGCCCAAGAATGTGCTTTAACAAGCTCTTTCATTCCCAAAAGGTTTAAAAAACACTTCCATAAAGAGTAAAGACTGGCATCAGGAGATCATTATTGTAGACAATTTACTGATCTTTTTTATTTTGTCTTTTTGAGACAAAGTTTTTTTGTTTTTTGTTTTTTGTTTTTTTTGTTTTTTTTTTTTGTCTTTTTCCTTTTTATTGGTACTGGGGATTGAACTCATGACTGCCTGCTTGCAAGGCAGGCGCTTATGCCACTGAGCTAAATCCCCAGCCCCGAGACAAAGTTTTATTACATAGTTCAGGCTGGTCCTGAACTTACTTTGTAACCAACCTAGGCTGGCCTGGAACTCACAGCAATCCTCCTGCCTCAGCCTCCTAAGTGCTGGGATTACAGGTGTGCACCACCATACCCAGCTTTATAGACAGTTTTATCAGATTTTGAGGCAAAAACATAGTCTTCAAAGTTGCATTCAAATTTATCATTATTTCACTAAAATTTGTTATTATTTTGTTGGTTATTCTGCTTGAGTGTGAGTTTAGAAAACCTCACCTCCAAGAACACCACTTAGTAAAGACTCACAAATGAGGAGTGGCATTCTAAGTCAATTAATAAGCCCCAGATGATTAAGAAAAGATGATTTTGCTTTCTGTTCCTTCTAAAGATTTTTGCATTTTACCAAGAATAATATATTACTACAAGTGACAATTGAAAATTTTGCTCTTGTTTGATACGTTGATCATTTTTTTAGTTTTTTGGTCTACAATTTCTAGCAATAGTCTTTTCCCAACAAAATGTGATTGCTTACATATTTTCTATGAGTTAATATCAATGGTGAGTCATTAAAAATTTAGTAAGTTAGAAAGTTGCCATAAAAATTCCCGTTGAGCCTCTGAAAGAATAAGAAGGTACAGGATATGCAAAGGGCATCTATCTCTCTGTGCTCAGTGTACAGTGATACTCTATAGGATATATTATCGTAGTAATGAAAATGTCAAAGACAGTACGAGGCCTTCATTCAGCATTTTCAGATTGTCAAAAGAAATGGTGTTGAGAACCTGTTTTGGGGAGTCTGAGTCCTCTGGACTACACAGTATATAAAGAGAGAGCAAAAGAGAAACAGAAGAAAGGAAGACAGAGTTGTTTGAAAGATCCCTGCTGTGAGTCTCCCCTCTGCCTTCTTTGGGATGGGGTAAGGCATATTCCCTCCACCTTCAACCCAGTTGGGTTTCAAAGGAAACTAATAGAAACTTTAAAGTTTATTCACTACAATTAGGCCTTAAGCCTGAGAAAATCTTTGC